ACACGGACCTCTAAAAACATCAGAAATGGGATCAGGTACCAAAGAGAAGTAAACATCCCATGTCGACCGGTAACATCCTGCCGTATGCCCCTTGTCATGATCGGGCAAACGGAAAAAAAATCCGTAAACCATTCAGTGTGAGAATAACAGCCTAACAATTTGTATGAAAAACGTCAGTCAACATTCGACTTTTAACGATAGATTGTAGGAGTATTTGCTAACAAGATCATGGTATCGACCAAAGAATTAGCGAAATATACGTTGACTTTAAACGGGACAACCGGACAGAAATTAGAAATTCCTTGACAAGAAAAACAAAACAAAAAGATAATGAAACGTTATAATTCAAGGTCACAATAGTAAATAATCTTGATTTCACCTTTATTATTACTGTATTCAAAATTATTGGAGAAGCAAGCCCCCCCCCCCCTTCCCATCCCACCGTGTTTCTGTGGGCATGCGCTTTCCAATATTGAACTAATAATTCCAATAATTTATGAATGTTAGCATACGAGTTGGTAACCTTACCTATCAAATCAAGTCAACATGTACACCAGCAGTTGAATTACATGTCAATTCAATGTTGTTGTTTTTTTCTTTTCTTAATGAGACTAGCTAACTGACTTACGATATTATATACTTTAACCATGTATTTCCATACCCCGTTATATGAAATGAACAGAAAGGTAACCTTTAGACTTTTAAATGCGCGCTTGTATGTAACTATGCTAGTTACCTAATTCGTCATTTACCCAAGTGTTACTTGAAAGTAACCTCATATTTTAAAAGTTACAATGTTGTGGGTGCCGGTATATTAAGATATAGAAATTTAAAAAAAAAAAATAACTTACCTTAAAGCAGTAAAATGTATACACGCGTACGTCCTACTGGACTTCAGATCAAACAATAAAGACACACACACGTATACTGAGCAATCAATAATAGCCCGGTATCTCATCAAACGTCGATAACGAAGTCATAGGACATAGCAATTTAAAGTGGACAGCATTACTCACCTTGTCTTTCATACAGATTGCAGGAATGTTTAGTAACACTAGAGAAAATTTTGTATAAATGACTCCAAGTGTCAAAGATTATGGATACCCATCTTCACATGCCCGTGGAACGCGGGGGGCGGGGGTGGCGCCCCCTTTTTCTGAGTATATATTTTGTTATAGTAAATTTTCCTTTAGACGCTTGTTGCCCCCCCCCCCCCCCAACCTCGTTGCTGTAAGTTTGAGCATTGACAAATTCCAGGATTATAAAATAATACCGCGGGTATGATTATTTAATAAAATATGAATACTACGTTGGGGGGGGGGGGTGCACAGCCATACATTTTCAGTTGAGGGGGCACTACCAAAAATTTCCTGACAAGCAAAAAAAAAAGGTCGTCAACTACCAAGTATTCGTTGACTCTTCACGCCGGCATATTTCATGAAGCGCGTTAGCGCTTTATGAACAATATGCAGGCGTGAAGCGTTGTAGTTTATGTACCTCATGAGTTATCAAAAATTAAATTCATATCTTATATTTACATTATTTTTCTGATGACTTGCCACATATAATTGTCATTCAACAATCTTTTTTGAAAAAAAAAAAAGTTTGCACTATTTTTTTTTTACTTCAATCACATCACAATGGAAATATTCTTACTCATCCAACGTTAGTTCATAAGAACATGAACTTTTTCTAATTTGTAAAGAATCTTAAAGAATTTGGAAATGAAAATATTTGGCATTTAAAGGCAAGAACAAATTTTTTTTTAATTTAAAAAAAAATATATGTGAGAATCAAATTTTCACGAGCAAACTATCTCATGTAATTTCACGAATATATTATTTTTACTGTGTAATTAAATAAATCTGATTGGTTTGCTTGCTATCACGTGTAAAATTATACTTTACGATATTGACTTGAGTTACTAAAAATAACCCAGGGAAAATACAAAGATGTGTTTATAATGACGAAAAGTCTTTAAAACTTACAAATTCTTACATAATGAATTTGTCTCTTTCTTTTCCAGTGAAAACAAGATGTGTTTGCGAAACACTGATGCCCCCATATGGCAGCTTATGGCGAAGGCTAAAGTTTCTTAAATGCAAGTCAAATTCCAAGTCAAGAAATCAAAAATGTTGGTACTCAAAGAAAGGTCTTGTCTCAAGGAATATACCTGTGAAATATGAAAGCCCTAGTACAAACCGTTGAAAAGTTTTGGCGAAGGTTAATGTTTTTTTTAAAGTTTTAAAGTAAGTAAAACGGCAAGGTCAAATGGTGCCCAAGGGAAGTTCTTGTAACCAGTGATACACATGATCATGAAATGTGAAGGCCCTAGAACCGAACGTCCAAATGTTATGGCCAATGTTAAAATTTTTTAAAAGAAGGTCAAACTCCAAGGTCAAAGTAAATGCTAAAATTGTTGGTATCCAAAGGAAGGTCTTGTTACAAGGAATATATATGTAAAGTATGAAAGCCATAACACCAACTGTTCAAAAGTTATGGCCAAGGTTAAAGTTTTTTTTCAAAAACAGGTCAAACTCCAAGGTCAAGGTCAAAGGGTCAAAGTTGTTGGTATCTAAAGAAAAGTCTTCTCACAATGAATGCATATGTGAGAATGAAAACCGTAGCACTAAGTGTTCAAAAGTTATGGCTAAGGATAAATTTTTCAAATTTGAAGTAGGTCAAACTCCAAGGTCAAGGTCAAAGTTGTTGGTATGCACAGAAAGGTCTTGTCACAAGGAGTACACAAGCAAAGTATGAAAGACCTAGCTCAAACTGTTCAAAAGTTATGGCCAAGGTTAAAGTTTTTTCAACAGTTGGTCAAACTCCAAGTCCAAGGTCAAAGGGTCAAAGATGTTGGTATGCACAGAAAAGTCTTCTCACAAGGAAAACACTTGTGAAGTTTGAAAGCCCAAGCTTCAAGTGTTCAAAAGTTATAGCCAAGGTTAAAGTCTCAAAAAATTTTGCAAAAGTGGGTCAAACTCCAAGGTCAAGGTCAAAAGTGATGGTACCCAAAGAAAAGTCTTGTCACAAGGAATACACATGTGAAATATGAAAGCCATAGCTCCAACCAATCAAAAGTTATGGGCAAGGTTAAAGTTTTTGCGGACAAACAGACAGACAGACGGACAGGGCAAAAACTATATGCCCCCGAATCTTCGATTATGGGGGCATAATAATATAACAAATGTAGCCCTTTGATTCGGTCAATCCATAGGTATATCAACTTCACAGAAAAGCATATCGACTTTGCACTTCGTGCTCAGTCGATATGCTTTCTGTGACGTTGATATATCTATGGATCGACCTCATAAAAGGGCTATATTTGTATAATAAAGTTCTCATGAATAAAAAGTGATTTACAGTAGGTGATATTACCTATTTGATTTCAATTGGTGATATCACCTATTCGAATAAGTAATATCACCCTTTCAATAGGTGATATCACCTTTTCAAATTGGTCATATAATCTTATTTGAAATAGTGATATCACCTATTCAAATAAGTGATACCACATTCAAACCAAATAGATGAGATCACCAATTCGAGTTGGTGATATCACTAAATGGCAATAATTACCAAAACATTGCCTCATATAGGATGGACACCTTATCATATAAGCCCTTCTGGTCTTTGACCAATACAGCTAATAGCTGTAATAATTCAAGCAATAGCAATAATTCAAGTATTCATTTGGTGTTCAAAAGTAACATATTATCTCTTCCTGATGGCCTCATCCCGGCCCATTTCTGCCTCAATGGTCATTTGAACAGCCTTGAATATGTACTACTTAAGGTTTATGATCCCTCTTCTTACTCGTACAAAAATTTTGTTCTAATACTTATGACTTTCCAAAAAAATCTAATTTATAATTTTTAAAAAAAGCACACAATTTCAGAATATCTTATGGGGGCAAAATTTTATAGAATTTAACGTTTAACTTGACCTTTTTACAATTAAGACATTCCAATGACAGTTATCTCTCTAACCCAATGGTCACCATAAAAAGATTGCATTTTTATGTAATTTGTTGGCTCTTCCTTTTAGTCTAGGGTAAAGCTTTGAATCCATATTGTGGTATCATTCCTGATGCATGGCCAATCTCACAACAAACTGATTTGTCTTAACATGCTTTGGGGAAATTGAAATAGGCATTTGCCAAGTAGTTCTGGAGAGGTTAATAATGTTAATTCTTTCCTAAATGCCAGACTGATAGCAAAATGATAGAAAGAGAAAATACACTTGGATCAAGAGTTTCTCTGATAACATAAAATCTTACAGTTTTATTAGTTATTTAATGCATAACGGTATAAAAACTGAAATGCTGTGGAATCTTCATTGTTCATGAGAGACCAATGTTTTTGGGTCACCCCAACACATTAAATTTACATCCCAACAAATAACAAGCATTCTGAGAGTATTGAATTATCAATACTAGTCCCCTACCGGCAAGTGTAATCTGGTTCCCTTTAAAAATTGAAAATGCCATAATTCCGTCAAAAATCATTGAAGCAGAACGAAATGCTAACTTGATCTATAACTAATCAAAGTAAAGTCACATACCAAAAATCAGCTCAATATCTGCAAGCGTTTAAATAAAAAAATTGCAGAAAACCCTAAGAATTGAAAAGGTCGTACATGTAATTCCGTCAAATATCGATGAAGCGGAATGAAATGCAAACTTATCTGTAACTCATCAAGATACACTCACATACCAAAAATCAGCTCAATATCTACAAGCGTTTACGAAAAAAGTGCAGAAAACCAAGTGGGACAGACTGACAGATAGACAGACAGACAGATGGACAAACTCAGACGAAACCTATAGTCCCCTCCAGTTTCACCAGTAGGGGATTAATAACTTTGTTCATATATCAGTCCATTATATCTTCTGCAAATATGAGTTACCCGAAAAATTTTATCCCCATGAGCCAATTCATTCGCCAACAAACAATGTCCCAAGTGACATTTACTAGAATATAATGGAAAAAATTAAGAGATATTTTTAACATATTTTATTAAAGAAATTGTTCAATGTGTAATGACAGATATTGTGAGTCTGGAATGATATGTCTGATTTACATGTACATATAAAACAACTACAGAACTCCCAGAAAGCACAAATCAACTGCAAGACATATTGCTTGGTAAGAGCAAATGTTCTTGTCATCGCCTCCTGTACATCATGTTCTGCTGGTGAGCTGCCTGCAACAAAAAAAAAAAATAATGACACTCTTGCCTAATAATGATGAAATTCATATATAATAAATTTAAAAGATTGGTTTAGTTTACTGATAGCTGCCAAAAATCAGATACTGTATTAAACATATTGGTCTTGTTTCAACTGTCAAAATTTTGCTACATTCCATTCTCTTTACTTGAAAATGAATTCCCAATATCAGAGAAACAGAAGAGAAATTGAATGACAAAAAAAAGAACATAAATCTGCAAAGCAAACATCCATTTTCGACAAAACAAGAAAGACTATTCCCTTTACCTCAAATTTGGTTATAAAGTCTGCAAAAATTCCAAATATTTCTGTGGTGCTACTTTTCTTGGGGTCTTCTCCAAAATACTGCACCATGCTTTGGAATTCCTCCATAGTATTGGCTTGTAATCGAAACAAACCCTGAATTTCATCAGAGGCTTGAGATATGAAATGCTACGTACATTTAGGAAAAGAAGTAAGGTTTTTAAGAGTATACAAAATTGTCACATACGTATGATAAATACATTCTGTCTTTCTTTTTCAAATTTAACAATCTTAAATAATTCCACAAAACACAAAATGAAAGTCTGAGGACTAAAATGTGCTAGTTGTGAAATATGCTAGCACGTATATTTTTCGTTAAAGGATACACCCATTACATCTTGGAACTTATCATTCACTATTCTAGTTTTCTGTGAACCAAATTTGTCCAGGGTATTGGATATTTCCTGTTAATAAGAAATACAGGTAAATGATTAAAAATTACATTTCATAAGAAAAGTGTGCACTTTCAGAAGAAAGTTGAATTTTCAAGTTATTTATGCTTTATGTCTCCAAGGTACTTACCTGCAATACTTTTCTGAGTTCTTGAAGCTCCTGATTTAACATTATATTTGACACTGAAAAAAAAATCAAATCAATCTGATAGTATATGTTTTTAAATTTTTTTCTTTCAAAATCTGGCATACAATCATGCATATTCTCAAGGTAAAATAGAATTCAAAAAAGATACATATACCTAATATAAAGTAACATGCTTGATTCTTTTACACAAGGATCATACATGACAGTAGTTTTATATCTTCAGAATTCAGTACATGTATTAGACATCAGTACTTTTACTTTCACACTACTCACTACAAGCCAGCTTTCCCTTGCCTACTGCCATCACTGTACTGAGCTCTTCTCCCACAGTCAGTACATCTGGAAACCTGGTGACCACTGCATCAGCAAGGACATGGATAAAGGTCGTTCTATTGTCCTTGGTCTTTGTGATGTCAAGCTACAAAAGGTTGTTTAAAAAGAGCTTTCGATAGGTAAAGATTTTTACAAATTACTTGTTTATGAGCCAAATTTTAAAGAGTTTATTCTTTATAGTGTATATATAAGTACCTGAGATAAAAAAGTAATCTTAAATCCAAATGCCTCTCCTACTCTCTGGTTTCCCTTGTTCATGTAATTTCCCATAGCCAATATCAACTGGAAAGTAAATAAAGTACATTCTGATGCTTTTCTACATGTACGTTTGAGGTTTGTATTAGAACACAGTCACATATGTATGTATATAATGATTTCAATACCTCTAGTAACTTTGCTAATTTTCTGCTATGTCTAAGCTCCTTGGATGCTTTCCTAATGTGTTGAAGATTCTGTAATTCAAAAATGAAAGAACTGAATGTAAAATGCTATGTATACATACTTTCTTGAAAGAGGATTTTGTACAAGAAAGATAAGAAATATGACATATAGAAATGTTTGTAAAATGTATTTACAGAGATTCAGTTGTAGCTATATATTCTAGGAAATGCTAAAAAAAAAAAAAAAAAAAAAAATTACTTTCAACAAGTGACAAAATAACTTGTACCTCTTTCATTTCTGTGATTTTTTCATTGAAGTTTCCCTTGAAAAGTAATGCCTTTAGTCTCTGCTCATAGCCTGGAACCCTGCTCATCTTTAAAAACAAAATAAAGTTACATGTACATTGAATGAAGTCAATGTTACTACTTATCTAAATGTTATAGCCATTATGTTGTTAACCATGAAAGCAATAGATAAATACTGCCTTGTATATTCATCTAGTGCAATAAGTAAAATTTGAAATATATCTTATTCATTATTCATTCTGATGTCAAGGATCAAAGTTAAGAAATTCCTTTTTTAAAGATAAATGATTTATTTTATGAGAGAATTTTCAAAATAAATGATATTCAATCTGTGAGTATAAATATCTACCTCATATGCAAATAAGTCTGGTTTACTGAGCTCATCTATCTCACCATCAAATGCATTAAAGCGCTCCATCTGTCAGATCAAAACCATATTTTACTGTGAATGCACCACAACTGTCAAAAATTAATTGTAGGTACTTGTTTACATACATCCATACATAACTAGCAAAAGCATCCCTACCTCTGTTTTGCTGGGAGCAAATGCCACCAGTTGTCTTAGAAGCTCTGGTGTGAGGATTTCTTCATCCATTTCATACAGGGCTTGCTTCATTTCATCCACAGACAACCTCAGGTGTCCTAGCAGTATGGCTGTCAATGGGAAAATACATGTATAAACTTTGGAGACAGTGATACTATCCAACAAGCCCCCCTCCCCTTTTTGTCCATTTCTTGTGTATCTTTTAAAGAATAGGAGGTACATTATATGCAATAAATTTCTGAAAAGTGCATCTTAAATGAGAATGCATTCACAGACATATTACAAAAGCTTCTTAAATTCATGCTTTGGTGCAATTATTACTTTGTACCACAATATTGAATGACTTGAAGGTTTTTTAAACCTTATTTTTTTTTTCAGAATCAGCTTCCATTATACAGCAAACGAATTTACAGAATAAAGGGCACCTGCTAATAAAATAAGATCTTCATCTCTGCAATGCTTCTCCCCTAGCCAACTTTTCTATTCACTAACCTAACCATATGGTTGCAAAATTTAACAAAGCTTCTATCCTAAATCAAACTCTGCACATAGCATACCTTTTCATCAACTTTTAAGGAAAATATTTAAGATATGTGACAGGCAGACATACCAGTACATGCTAAAATCTAACTTTTTTAAGGTATCGTGGTTAAAAAAAATCTAACCTCTAACGTCCACACAAAATTCTATGTTTAGGCTTGCATCATATTGCATACAAGCTAATTTCTGAGTTTGATTTCATATTTAAGCACTTAAAAAAATCCATCTGAATATTCAAAGTTTGGTAAATGTGAGGCATTTTATCAGAAAGAGACTGAGAGATTAAAAACAAATCGCATTACTCAACTAACATTAAGATCCAGTATTCAAAGCAATAATGGAAGTTAAAATCCCAAACAACATCATCTACATGTATTTGATTTTTATAACAGTTGAAGCTATAAGGAAATGGCTTCTAAACTTTAACCTGTCAATCAACTTGATAATATGGGCAGATGTGACTGTAAGGTATATATTAATAGAGGGACCTCAACTAAGTTTGGCACAGGTAGAGTTTATCATAACTTGAGTACTGGAACTGCTCTAAAGAGTTTAATCACCAACATATAGAGCCAAACTTATGCAGGGGGCATAGGAGAGGCACTCCTTAATTCATTTTAATAAACTAACATCAAATCAAGATTTGGCTGTATGTAGAGAGGGTATGTGCTGAGTGTATTAATAGGTACTCACAAATGTTGTAAGCCTTTTTGGGATTTAGAATGTATATCTCATTTCTTTTCTCAGGTACCTCTACAACACACAAAACAACAATGTATCAGCCAATAACATACACAGTTCAACATGGACAACTGGCAAAAACAGAAAGTGATGAAATGATTCAAATTATATAATAAATCATGCATATTAATAAACAGTTAGCTTGTGAAAGTGGTTTACATGTTGTTGCATAAGCAAGGGTATTCTCCCTTGAAATCTATACTTACACATTTTTTCATGAGAAGCACAATTAAGACACTTACTTGCTCTTTTGTTTTGGATACTGAAGTGATTTTCTAATTCCAGATATTTGATAACATCGTCTAAGTCATCATTTCCTAGCTACAAAGAGTGCAACATCTTATAAACTATTCTCACAGTTACAGCAATCAATCTATTTGTTAACTGATGCAGTTCATTTTTCAACTCTCAATACCACTGCATGATTAAAATTTCACAAATTTTACATCAATTAAAAACCTAGAAAACAGTCATCTAGGATCCCATGGTATGCTTATATCAATAATTGTGACTTCTGAGCAAATTGCCACAGAATCCATAGGTGTGTTATTGTGTTGTGAATATAAAGTCTGTTTTAATGTACTGGTAATCATGTGAAAATAAACCATTCTGACCTTGACCTTTGAATGAATAAGCTCAAAATCTGTAGAAGTGTTCCTTTCTTCATTGTTCACCAATTTAGTGAAAAAAACTGTTTTTTTAATACTACTCTGCATCACTCTAAATATATAATAGCCATATATCCTAATGGCTGTTCAAAAGATGCCTTCTTCTAAACCAAATTTCTCAATTATAACAAGATTTTTAACCTTAAAATATATGCAAATTATTGTATCAAACTAGTCTATATTTAAATAATCCATGCCTTTGACCCCACTATTGGTGTCTTCCTGTAACAACTCTCGACCTACATATTATGAAGTCTCTAGGATTGGAAAAAATGTATCACATGAACGTGAAATGATTAAAGTTTGACTTTTGACCTTAACCTTTGACCAAGTAACCCAAAACACTGTGTCCTCATCTGACCAAACCAGCTATGTAGTAAATTTTAAAACTGTAGGTAAGATATAATTTCTGATATATGTGTTCATGGACTGACAGATATAAATGCTGACAGATATGTGTTGACGGACTGACAGACATGTGTTGATGGACTGACAGATATAAGTGTGACACTGACAGACATGTGTTGATGGACTGTCAGATATGTGTTGATGGACTGACGGATATAAATGTGACACTGACAGATATGTGTTGATGCACTGACAGACATAAGTGTATATGGACCAACAGATACAAGTGTTGATGAACTGACAGATCTGTGTTGATGAACTGACAGATCTGTGTTGATGGACTGACAGATATGTGTTGATGGACTGTCAGATATGTGTTGATGGACTGACGGATATAAATGTGACACTGACAGATATGTGTTGATGCACTGACAGACACAAGTGTATATGGACCAACAGATACAAGTGTTGATGAACTGACAGATCTGTGTTGATGAACTGACAGATCTGTGTTGATGGACTGACAGATATGTGTTGATGGACTGTCAGATATGTGTTGATGGACTGACGGATATAAATGTGACACTGACAGATATGTGTTGATGCACTGACAGACACAAGTGTATATGGACCAACAGATACAAGTGTTGATGAACTGACAGATCTGTGTTGATGAACTGACAGATCTGTGTTGATGGACTGACAGATATATGTGTTGATGGACTGAGAGATGGACACAGTGATTATTACAGGGCACCTGAATCTTGATGCATGACCCTAATATAATAACAAACAAAGATCTTTATCTCGAATTCACAGAGAAAATTCAACCTTTACTTTTTGAAATGAGCATTTCTCTTTGAGTCAGACCTACCTGTTCCCAGATGGTATTTTCCACTTTATCAGCACCAATCTTTTCCCAGTTTATTCTCTTTACATTAACTTGATGAGAATACACACTTACATCTGTTGCAAGAGAAGGGGGAGGGGGTGGAGGTGGGGGAGGGGGAGCTATAAAATATCAACATCAGACACATCATATAGGCATAGTACTTTAACTTTTATTAAACATGTCAAACTAACAACAATAGTTGAAATTAATAATCGTGGACACAGTACTCCATTGAAGGTGTAAAAAAATTATATTTCTGTAAAATAAATGCTAAAGAGTAAAGCCATGTTTGCATGGTTAAAATAAACCAACGTAGATTCAGAATTCAAAGTCATTAATCCACACAATAATTTACAAGTTCAGGAAAATAAAGCTTGATTTTGTACACATAATTGATGTTACGTGCATGTAATCAGTTTATGTTTGTTATTTTTTTTCTAAAAGATGAATTTTATATTTCACTTTGAAACAGTTCTGCTAGGTAGATGCAGAAAATTCTACCTAGAAGACAGTCAAGAATAAATATTTTCACTTATTCTTAATCCAAGTGAAACCATCTCTAGAGGTGGTGTAAAGAATTCAGATTTAGATTGAAAAATCCAAGTAAAATAATCGAGATATAAATAAGCAATACAAATTCAGAATTAATTTCACTTCCATTAAAAATACACTGCACTAGAAACTATATAGTTATATTCTATAACAAATATCGATGTTAAAGATATCAAGTTCTATACATTATCTGACCTGGAGGTGGAGGTGCTGCCACCTGGTCTGTATCTGGATCTGTATCCTCGTTAGTGGATGACTGGGACTGAGATGACGTGGGCAGTACGCTCCCTTTTTTCTTCATCCCAAGGGGACGTAACTCTAAATCTGAAGCCTCTGCTGCCATGGCTGCATCGAGTTCCTTCAAGGCAGTCAGTGCTCTGGTGTTGAAGGAATCCATGGAATTCACAGAAAACAAGGACTTGGGCAAAGTTTGCTGAATTTCTACTTCACTGTCAGACTCACTAGTGAAGATAATTTCTGGGGGTTCATTGAGTCCATTAGGAAGGCTGGTTGAGTGAGCATGCCCATTCAGGATGGGACTCTCATGACGACTCAAAGGTGAATGGTCAAATTGGGGAATTGGGATAACTGTCACATATTTAGTAGCTGAATGGATATCTTCCTCTGATTCTGTAAGGAGTAATATAATACACAAACACATATATATCATTTTAGATTTCAACTTAATCATACTTGGAAATTGGTAGAGGAGACATTTGCATTGGTACCTGATCCCCTATTAATCTGGAATGCTTTCTTGGCTTCCTGTACAGCCTTTCTGGTTTCCTCCAGCTCTTTCATTAAAGCAAAGTCATATCCTTTCCCATTTCCAACTCTTTTTCTCTCAAAATCTATTAATAAGAAAATCTTTAAGAATGTGTACGCACTTTTCTTTTGGCTAGATGTTCTGAATCAAATAAACATGTAATACACATATATGTCAGCATATGATCAAATAATACTAACACATATTTACAAACATTAATTTTGCTATACAGATGTAAATGTACCGACCTTTTCACATTTTGTAGAAATGTAATAACCCCATGACTTACCATATCCATGTTTCCCTATAAGATCAATGTCATCTGAAGAGTAGGTGTACCCAGGGTGCATCTTCTTCCACAAACGCCCTCTGGCCTTTCTGACCCCTGACCTTATACTTCTGTCCCTTACATCCTCCTCATCTGATGAGTAGGTGGACTGTTACAAGAAAAAGATAATTCCACACACACTTTTTTTCTTTTTTTTAAAAAAATCGAAATAGAATTCTAAGTATTGATTTCAAATTTTAAAGGCTTCTAAGTAAATAATGAAAAGAGTGCTACCCAATTAGATCTCCCTTTGCCTCTTCTCAGTGCATTTGCAGCTGCTCCTACTAATACATAAAATGCAAATCATTTTACATTTCTTTCCCCATTTCTTCTACAAGATCACCGAGACATAAATTTTATGACAAACGAGATGACTTCAGCTTTTTGTAAACTTTCCTTATTTATGTAGTAATATCCCACCATCACCTCTAAATGGTGTTTACATATCCTGACTTACTTGATTAGATTCTCAAAAGCATGCTCCGAGATGATCAATTTTTAAACCAAGGCAGGCCACGGACAGATAAGTTGCTGTTACAGGGATTTCAACTACCTCTTTTTAAGTCAGCATTTTGTCAATTCTATGGTCATTACAATGACCTTGTTAGCAATTATATAACATATCATTGGTTCTTTTTTTGGATGACATTTTTCATATCAACTGTATGCCTTTGTTTTAATACAGAATTTGACTACAAAATTTTCTGTCTAGCTATCAATACAGAAGGCTCATGGAGGGTGTGACCCATCAACAGGGGATACTTACCCCTCCTTGGTACCTGATCCCACATCTGGAATTTCCAGGGATCCATGTTTTATACCCTCTTCACATATTTGTTTTGTTTATAGATTTTTTGAGATCCATCACTGTTCGTTATCTTCACTTTTTTCATTGTTACTTATCACAATATATACCATATTTAAAATCTTCATCAATGTTTCCAAATGTTCTACTCCTTGTTGATCCTAAATGACTTCCTGGAGTTCCTGGTTTGAAAGAATCTGCAAATGAAGATACAAGGTCATGTACATGTAAATTTCAAAGCAATTAAATTTACAATCTAACCTTAAAAGTACAAAAAAATTACCGTAAAAAGGCCCATTTATCAAATTGTGCACCCAAGTCACTATTTTAGTCATTGCAAATGTTGATTCTTAGTTTAATAAGGGTCTAAAGGTGGGGGGTATCTTAATTTAAAAAAACTTGACTCTGCAATTCCTATTTTCATTAAAATTTCAAAGCAAAACTATGATTCCCTTTTGTGGTCCTCTTCCAGGCTCTTTTAGATATGGATTGAATTTATGCTACTAAAAAATGTTGTCATAAAAAAATTGTCAAATTGTGGCCATTTGAAGAAGATTTTAAACATAATTTTGCTAATTCATATCACAGTTTTCTTTTTTATATATGAAAATCTTATTTGTAGTTTCCTCCAAGCAGAGGGCCATTTTAATAATCAAATAAAAACAAGATGTGTTTGTGAAACACTGATGCCCCCATATGGCAGCTTATGGCGAAGGTTAAAGCTTCTCAAATACAAGTCAAACTCCAGGTCAAAAGATCATAAATGTTGGTCCCAAAGAAAGGTCTTGTCTCAAGGAATATACTTGTGAAATATGAAAGCCCTAGCACCAACTGTTGAAAAGTTATGGCAAAGGTTAAAGTTTTTCAAAAGTAAGTAAAACGTCAAGGTCAAATGGTGCCCAAGGGAAGGTCTTGTCACAAGTGATACACATGTTCATGAAATGTGAAAGCCCTAGAAACAAACGTTTAAATGTTATGGCCAAGGTTAAAGTTTTTCCAAAGTAGGTCTAACTCCAAGGTCAAGGTCAAAGAGTCAAAGTTGTTGGTATCCAAAGGAAGATCTTGTCACAAGGAATGCACATGTGAAGTATGAAAGCCCTAGCACCAACTGTTTAAAAGTTATGGTCAAGGTTAAAGTTTTTCAAAAGTAGGTCAAACTCATGGGTCAAGGTCAAAGGTCAAAGATGTTGGTATCCAAGGAAGGTCTTGTCACAAGGAATACACATGTGAAGTGTGAAAACCCTAGCACTAACTGTTAAAAAGTTATGGCCAAGGTTAAAGTTTTTCAAAATTAAAGTAGGTCAAACTCTAAGGTCAAGGTCAAAGTTGTTGGTATCCAAGGGAAGGTCTTTTCAAAAGGCATACACATGTGAAGTATGAAAACCCTAGCTCTAGCTGTTCAAAAGTTATGGGCAAGGTTAAAGTTTTTTCAAAAGAAGGTCAAACTTCAAGGTCAAGATTAAAGGGTCAAAGTTGTTGGTATCCAAAGAAAGGTCTTATCACAATAAATACACATGTAAAGTTTGAAAGCCCAAGCACCAATTGTTCAAAAGTTATGGCTAAGGTTAAAATGTCATAAAACTTTGCAAAAGTGGGTCAAACTCCCAAGGTCAAGGACAAAAGGTCAAATATGATGTTGGTAGTTAAAAAGGGTCTTTTCACAAGAAATACACATGTGAAATATGAAAGCCATAGCTCCAACCAATCAAAAGTTATGGGCAAGGTTAAAATTTTTCAAAATTAAAGTAGGTGAAAGGTCAAAGTTGTTGGTATCCAAAGGAAGTTGTCACAAGGAATACACATGTGAAGTATGAAAGCCATAGCTCCAACTGGTCAAAAGTTATGGCCAAGGTAAAAGTTTTTTTTTCAAAAGTAGGTCAAACTCCAAGGTCAAGGTTAAAGGGTCAAAGGTGTTGGTATCCATAGAAAGATCTTTTCACAAGGATTACACAAGTGAAGTTTGAAAGCCCAAGCACCAACTGTTCAAAAGTTATGACCAAGGTTAAAGTCTCATAAAATTTTGCAAAAGTGTGTCAAACTCCAAGGTCAAAAGGTCAAATATGATGGTACCCAAAGAAAGGTCTTGTCACAAGGAATACACATGTGAAATATGAAAGCCATAGCTCCAACCAATCAAGAGTTATGGGCAAGGTTAAAGTTTTGCGGACAAACAGACAGACAGACGGACAGGGCAAAAACTATATGCCCCTGAATCTTTGATTATGGGGGCATAAAAAATCCATAAATACATTTGAAAGTTTTAAATTTTTTTATTTTTTGGTTCAAAGGAAAAATATACTACTAAGGCCAAATTTGATTGAAACTGTGACAGTCATACATGTAAGAGGGATAAACAGAAGTCACTGAAATATTCTTTTTACTCTAGCTCCTTCCAAATCTAAATATTTTAGAGTATCCATTGCATGAAATTTTGAAAAAAAAAAAATCTGTGAATACTATGGCATAAATGTCCTCAGAGTAAACAGCGAAATTGTTTAAATTACAAATCTATTCAATTTAATTTTGACTTCATTTATAGCAGTTTGATAGAATTTCCATATTAGAAATACGGAGATAATCAAAATTTTTCATCAGGCTATAGAAATCTGAATTGAACTTTTTGGAGCAGCAGGCATACAGTTAACTGTCTAGACCAAGGAACTGATAAACACAGAGAAGAAAAAAAGTTGTCTTAGACTGACTTCAATTTATGTTTTTTTGGACAACTTATTCAAAGAAGGTGAAAGCAAACAAGCTGGATGAACACCATTAGTACAGATGAACTTAAGACAGTGCTAAAGTTGGTACAGAAAAACTGTAAGACATATTTCATGGTGTTAACAGAGAGTTGAAGAATGGAGAGATCTCTTTCTGTTTGGCCTTTAGAATGTTAACAAATAATGTCAGAAAAAAAAAGATTTATCACTAGGACTTATCTAATGATGCCATTAACTAGAAATTTTGCATATGGAATTTGTATTAGTTTGTTCTTGATAAAATTTCAGGGAATTTTCATGAATTGATCTTTTTCTTCTATAAATTTAATGTCTCAATAATTATTGAACAGCCCTTGTACTTTAGAATAACAAAAAACAAATGTGAAAAGTTAACAAACATACAGAAGATTGAAAACTTTGATCAGAAAGCCTAACTTCAGTATTCAGCTAAAGTGGGCATAAAAACACTTTTCCCTGTTCCATCAATTTCCTCCCAAGTCTTAAAATAAGAACACTCATAGTTTTATAAGCATAATACTACATGTATTTGTTATTTTTTTTTTGTATTTTTCACTGAGATATTTCCCTTTTCAAGATTTATCTACAAGCATAATATCTTACGGGTACTTTAAGACTTGAGAGGAAATAGGTGGAAAGGGGAATATTCTTATTTTCAAGTATGATGGCTGTTCAGAAATTAACGTAAGATACAGTTGAACTTCTGTATCTCGAACACCGATATCTCGAATACAATGGATATGTCAAAATGATTGGGAAGTCCTAACCACATATTTCTTTAGTATTTTACCCTCGACATCTCGAACCCTCAGACATCTTGAAGTTTTTTCTCAGTCCCATCGAGTTTGAGATAACAAGGTTTGACTGTATCATGCTTGTAGATAAATCTTGAAAAGTGAAATATCTTGGTGAAGAATAGAGAGAAAAAAATATGACAGTTCAGTAGATTCATATCATTCAATATCTTAAGATAAACTTAAATTGGAGTTACTTTTGTTATTAGTTTGTATGTTAAGTCTCTGTCTCGTGTAGTCCTGATGCTCTGTAATCAGAAGAGGAATGATGTACATCCACAGTGTATGTTTAGAGGGTGTGTCTAGAATCACCTCCAATGACTGGATCAGACTCTCCACATTTCTACAATTCATAATTATAACTGAGCAAACATTTTAAATACAAATTTAAGAACAGCAGACTCCGGATACAATGAGATGCTGGGGACATTGGTTTAGATCTCATTATAACCGATATTCGTTATATCCGATATCTGCATTTTACAAGCTGAGAGTTGATCAGTATTTGAATGAAGACTTGCATATATTATTGAGCATGTTCCCAAGTGAAATAACGTTCTTAGGACATGGAAAAAGGTTTTTTAAAGACATAGTTTGAAAAATGAATAAAATAATTTCTTTTTAAATAAAACATGCACAATTTTAACTTATTTATGGACGTTAAATAATGAAAGACGACGCGGGTTCACTACATGTATTTTAACTAAGATAATCATTGCACTGCAATTAAGATCAAGCTCAGTTACACTGCAGTTCCAAATTTTGTAAAGTACTAAATGCAGAATCATTGTCCATTTCAATATCTGTATTGAATTTTCTACTTATGTGTACCACTTCTGTGTCTGACAATTTAGTTTGCAGAAATTTCTCAATGTTTTGACATAAACTTTGTTTATGTTCAATTTTGCCAATCTCTTCATTTTATGTCAATCGTACTTTTTATTTAAAAAAAAAATCATTTTATATTGCTTTTGTTTAAATATCTTAAGAATCAATGCCGAAGAATCGGAAGGCTCGATTGAAAGTGGTATTGCTAATTTTAGCTCCATGTGCTGACCAAGTTTCTTTAACTCTGCCAGGTCACATGCATTTGTATACAACACGTTTTCTACATCGAAATTACCAGGCCAAAACTCCAAGACAATGTGAAGTCTTATTTGGTTTTTATTTTTTTTCTAAATGTGTTAAATGTTAATCCATAGTCATTAGTAATCTTCCTTGAATGTTTTCAAACTTCGCTAATAGTTTCTACTTTTGTTTTGTATAAAATGACCTTTCCCTTCCTAGAAGCCATACTGAAGTTTTTTAAGCAATAAAAACAACTCGCTATTACTTCTCAACACCTTTAATTAAGAGCTATTCTCTGTAATGACTTGAACTTTTATATAGGAGCTGTGGCACGCATAGTCTCAGAATTTCTCCAAACTCTCTATGATAAAAGTCTTTGATACTGTAAACTCAAATCAGGCAAAAACTGGTTGCTACGTGTCATGGTTACCATAGCAACATGTCCTAAAGTTTGAATAATGGCATTTTTCAACATGTTCATAGTCCCACAGTTAACGTTTGCAGCAAAGCATACAAGTGGCAATGACTGTTTCTGAAAGTTGAAGGCCTGATGTCTTAAATGCATGATTAACATGTTTGATAAATCAACTATTACTTACGTTACTATGGAAACAAAGTATTCAAAAGTAATAATTTTGTTCATTTAATTTTATAAAGTCATACAGTTAAGAATAAAAACAATTATAGGTTGAAATGCAAGCAAATAATAGACAAAAGATCCTTGTTACATATACCTAGGATGAAATATGATATTTCTTATAGGTTGGCAATGGTTGCCATGGTTTTATCACCACGAAGGGATTTTAAATTTACTCTCTTAGTGTTTTAATCTTATCATATCTTTTTAAAAAGCATATTTCTATATAACTGATGATCAAATTTTAAAGGTGTTAGTGTGACCCTAATTTTCACATTTCAAAAAATTCAAACTCAATTCTTTAAATAGAGTGTTGCTATGGAAATTAGCCGAAAAAAATATGCACAAAAATCTGAAAAATATTCTGCTTCTTGGATACGTACCCTTGTATGTAGATTCCCAAGACTTTTATGATTGATTTTTATGAACAACTAACCTGACTTTCAATTTTGACTACCATCCGATCTCTAACTGGATGCAAAAAGCTGGCACATCGGGTTTTCATTCGGCAAACCTCTTCTGATTCCGTCACCTTCATCAAACCTCGGCTGTACGAGGAAACTTGATATGCGTCTCCGCTTAACATTTGTGATAAGGCTGCCTGTTTACCGCTTAGGGAAAACGTAACGCTTTGAAAACGATAATAAACATGCATCTGACATACGATGAAAATTTTCAAAAGCATACAGGTTACACTAAGAATAACACTTAACAAGAAAAATGCACTTAGTTTCTTTACATAATCACATGTTTGTGAACGGATCGAATTCAGCACACTGTGCACGTGTAAATGTAGGGCGCAGCCATATTGCGTATAAAGTAGCTCCGGCTTAATGGAGGTTTACATGATACAGCCGAGGTTTGATGAGGTACGAATCGGCCGAGGTGTGCCGAGTGATTGGGTTTTATATTGATATAAAATTTTAAAAATCGAACATTTTCCCTTCTTGGTAACCATAGCAACAGTGTTTTATTTTTCAACAAACTTTCTCAATATATGATATTCAACTTTAGTTCTACGAGATAAGTACTCTTCAATGTGAGTCAAGTAATATGTTTCTTGATTAAAAGGTAAGTAAATTCCTAAGGCAACAAAAAAATATCACTTTAAACAACTGGTAAGTTGTTTCCATGGTTACCCTGCAAAGTAACAATTAATCCCAATTTTTCTTCTGTTGTCGGTGTTGCAAGGTCCTAAGGATGTATATGTGCCAGTCATGAATTTTATTGTTTTTCCTCAAGATAGTAGCATTAACCCAATCTTAGCAACAGATTTTGCATGGTTACACAGTGTTACCATGGCAACCATGAAAGTTAGTTTTAGAATAATGTTGCCAATACCTAGTTACTTAATGTCAAATAATTTTATTGTTTTTCTTAGGCTGTTGATTGAGTTTGATTATGTAACACCTATCATTAGTGAATATTGAGCATTTTTCAGCATCTAAAATGTATTCTAAATGTACCCATAGTTACCACTTACTTAGAGATAAATTCTAAATAGTTTCTTTATAGCATAAGTGGCAACAAGGTGTCATGTTTTTGTGAGAATGGCTTGTTTGTTTTTCTTAGTCTTTATTAAGACTTAATAAAGATTCAAAGTAGCTGAAAATCTCAATTTTTCCAACTTTTCTGGCTGTTACCATGGCAACCAAGACACATAGCAACGAAATTTTATTTGATATATGTTTCTGGTGTCAAGCTTTAATAATGGGCAAAGTTTCATCAAAATCGGTGACCATGCGTGGCAAAAAAGTTTAAGTGGTTACAGAGAATCGCTATTAATTGTCATGGCTTAAAGTTGTGTACAGATACCTTTGATAATTACCATTATTTACCTGACTCTAGCAGGTGCAATTATGCGCGACACGAGTACCTCGTTATATCCGATAGCTCTTTCTACTAACTGGGACGGATTTTGACCTCGTTATAAGCTGAATCTCGTTGTAAGCGATCTCGTTATATCCAGCATTTTTATAAAAGAAATATATAATAATTAATTTGGGACTCAAAATTTTTCTCATTGTAATCGGTACCTCACTGAATCCGATCTCATAATAGCCGGAGGCCACTGTAGAAAGAAAGGTTTCAAATAACTTAATTTAAAATATAACAGTTGTCAAACTCTAAAAAATGCATTACACATCTGCAAGTAGAATTCTCAAGCAGAAAGGACATCATCAACCCAACTTCATTTTTGATTAACTCACCTGTTGTGTGCATATGCTCTAAGTGACCTCTTTAGATGAGTTCTCTCCCTTGAAGTCAACAAGTAATCACACTGCTGCTGGAATGAGGTCAGTTTAGGTCTTGGTGTTGAGGGCCTAGAATTTTCTGAAAATGGTGCAAATTCCTTAATAAAGTTATTCAACTAAATTCTATTGAATTCATTTTTCCAAATCTTATTACATAATTACCATGTACATGTATATACAATGCACAATGAAATACCATGAAGTTAGCTGAGAATTCAAATTACAGATGAGAAACATTACAGAGATGAATATGAATTTTGTCTATTGAGATAGAATGCAATCATTGTCATTTTCAATGACATACATCTCCTTGTATCCACCTTATAATAATCAGACTGTATTGTTAGGTGGGTACTAAGAATTTCGAGATGTACTCTTTTTTAAATCAAAGGCATCTTTTTTATGACATAAACATTTGCTTATTCATCAAAATTCTAATGTACATCATTTTCTTTCACAGAGTTTATAATTGTTACTTAAATTTGTAACAAAGAGCACTTTCTCAGATACCTGCATCCACTTTGACTGTGCTTTATATTAAAGAACTTACTCTTGCCATCAGCTCTTTCAATATGTCTAGGAAGTGCTGCTACCTCTGAAAGCATAATCAAAGGCTTGGTATTAGTTTTGAAAATGACTGGGTGCATGTTTTATATTTTAAAATTTTTGTTTTGTTTATTTTTTTTTTTTGTTCTTTAATTTAACATATGAGGAAGACAGTGCTCACCCAACAAGATTCCCCAAGATAGGTTGATTTTACTTACCCAGTAATATTTTCTCAGACAGGTTGATTCTATTCAGACATTACTCACCCAGTAAGATTCCCCCAGACAGGTTGATTTTACTTACCCAGTAGGACCTCCTCAGACAGGTTGATCTTATTCAGACAGTATTCCTGGTGAGGAGGGGTCAACTTCATGAGGATAAACTTCCACAGGGTCTTCTTGGACTGTGTGTCCAGTATCATGGAGATTTGGTGGTAGAAATCCACTACATTTCTAAATTGTGAAAAGATGTTGTATCTACATAGTGTCAAGACCCCTATTACTTTAAAGTTGAACAAGATTCGTAAAAGGAAAAGAGTTATTTTTTTCCACCATTATAGTCTTCTCAAGATGGTCATTCTCCACCCGCTATATAAGCCTCAGCTTTGCTCAGAGTTCAATGTATTTCGCTTCACAGAGTTTACCTGAACAGATGTCTCTTTCACTGTCATTATGATAGACTTGGGCGAGACAAAAATGACTTCTGTATGCCTCCGTCACATCAGGAAAAATAGATACCAAAGATATTTGATATCAATTGCACTGGTCAATGCATTACAAAGTGAAATAAACACAAATGCACTTTCAATGAAATAAAACATAAACAAAAAGACAATGTACATGAAGACATACATGTACTACACTCAGCAGCGACTAACGAATACAAAGGGTTTATATACCCCTGTGCTGATATAGGAGATAGCAAAACTAATATGGCATATGCATGTTCAGCTTTAATATTCCTAAACTTTTAGCCTTTTACAGCACATTAAAGCTGCAATAACTCCATTTGCCTCAATCATTCTTGTTCTTTACAAATAATGTTTCTAATAGCATGTTAAAATTTAGATATAAAATACTCTAATTGTTTTAGTAAAATATTTTATGAAACAAGATGTGTTTGTGAAACACTGATGCCCCTGTATGGCAGCTTATGGCAAAGGTTAAAGTTCTCAAATGCAAGTCAAAATCCAGGCAAAAGATAAAAAATGTTGGTACCCAAAGAAAGGCCTTGCCTCAAAAAATATACCTGTGAAATTTGAAAGCCCTAGCTGCAACTGTTCAAAAGTTATGGCCAAGGTTAAAGTTTTTAAAAGTAAATTAAAACGTCAAGGTCAAGGTCAAAGTTGTTGGTTTCCAAAGGAAGGTCTTGTCACAAGGATTACATATGTGAAGTATGAAAGCCCTAACACCAACCATTCAAAAGTTATGGCCAAGGTTAAAGTTTTTCGAAAGTAGGTCAAACTCCTATGTCAAGGTCAAAGGGTCAAAGTGGTTGGTATCCAAAGGAAGGTCTTGTCAAAAGGATTACATTTGTGAAGTATAAAAGCCCTAGCACCAACCATTCAAAAGTTATGGCCAAAGTTAAAGTTTTTCAAAAGTAGGTCAAACTCCTAGGTCAAGGTCAAAAGGTCAAAGTGGTTGGTATCCAAAGGAATGTGATGTCACAAGGATTACATATGTGAAGAATGAAAGCCCTAGCTCCAACCGTTCAAAAGTTACGGCCAAGGTTAAAGTTTTTCAAAAGTAGGTCAAACTCGTAGATCAAGTTCAAAGGGTCAAAAAGATTGATATCCAGAGGAAGGTCTTGTCACAAGGAATACACTTGTGAAGTTTAAAACCCCAAACACCAACTGTTCAAAAGTTATGGCCAAGGTTAAAGTTTTTCAAAAGTAGGTCAAACTCCAAGGTTAAAAGGTCAAAGTTCTTGGTATCCAAAGGAAGGCCTTGTCACAAAGAATACACATGTGAAGTTTGAAACCCCAAGCACCAACTGTTCAGAAGTTATGGCCAAGGTTAAAGTCTCATAAAATTTTGCAAAAGTGGGTCAAACTCAAGGTCAAATATGATGGTACCCAAAGAGAGGTCTTGTCACAAGGAATTCACATGTGAAATATGAAAGTCATAGCTCCAACCAATCAAAAGTTATTGGCATGGTTAATGTTGACAACAGACAAAAAGATAAAAAGACAAACAGACAGACAGGACAAAAACAATATACCCCCGGGATCTTTCGATCCGGGGGCATAAAAATACTAACCTGGATGTATCATACTGTATCATGGCTTTTCTCATGTGAGATCTTTCCTTTGATGTCAGTAAATACTCAGCCTGCAACACACATAATTAATCAATTAAAAACACACACAAATAATTACTCTTACTTAAGAAATAATAATTTCACTTGTGATTTACTTGTAAGTTCTACTCACATGACTTTTGAAGGACTTTCCGCTGCTGTCAATCATTTCTTTGCCGTCTGCTTTCATCCATTGAGAGGAGGCGTGACTAGAGATGGAGGATAGAGACAACGTGGACATACTGAGTGTACTCAAACCTTCTGGAAATAAGAACAAACAATAAAATATAACTTAATTAACTCCATGTTGTACGCTCTACTGTGCTTATGTTTTCTACATCTATAATCTTCCTTTAAAACAAAGAAGCATAATATGATTCTGACATTGCAAAAAAAATCCAGCACAGAATGGAAAACTGCAATTGAAATATCATAAAGGGAAAGGAATGTCATGTAGACTAGTTAGTGTCTGAGAATGAAATTGACTTTGAAGGACAGTACCGTTTCTCTGAGTTCTGAGAACCTCGATCTCTGGGGACGACCCGCTGTCCTGAAGCAGCTGCACTAAGTGTGCATGTGTACACCTCCTACAAAATCAATACATTTGTACTTAATCAGCAGTAACTTAGGTAGCTAGCTCTGGAGAGAATCCATTAAAATCATATACCCTGATAGTTCATTAATCAAGAATCTGAATTCTGATAAGACAATGTGTACTATGTTACCAATGATCTACTTTCAGGTGAGGAATACTGCTGATTGTTGTCATATTATAAATGCATCTACCTGGTGAGTGCCATCTCCATGCTAGTATTAGTTATAAAATCTATACTGACCAAGTTCAGCTTATATGCAGTAATATGTAATGGGGAAGGAGAAAAATGTGAAGGACAAGACCAGGATTCAAACCTGGGCCCTCTGAATCTCTAGTCAGGTGCTCTACCAACTGAGCTATCTGGCCACCGGTGATCAAACTCATCTGACCACCATATTCCTCCCTCCTTAAAGGTCTTCACCCCTGAAGACACCAACCCAAATTCTTCCCTGGCAGGTCTTTCACCTAGATTACTTCCAGGGCATAGCATGGCACCAAATGTTATGGGAAAAGGAGAAAAATGCAATGGACCAGACCAATATTCGAAGCTGGGTCACCTGAATCTCTAGTCAGGTGCTCTACAAACTGAGCTACATGTATATATCTGGCTCCCAGGCAATCAAACCCGTCTGACTGCCACAAATACAACCCTTTTTATAATATGCATGAAAATAACATGAGGAAAAATTTGAATCGAACACATTTTAATTATTAGTATTTGAATTGCATCGTTATTTTTTCTCTTTCTTAACACCTGGTCTTCATGTCAAAGGATAACTTCTCCAATACTTGTTCTTAGGTAATAATTAAGCAAGCAAGTGAATTGTGTAAAAGTGAATTGTGTAAGTAACAACTGTAAACCCTTTTTGCTGGGCTTTTACCTGACATCAATGTTATTCAACTTCAGAATCACATCCCCAGCCTGGAGTCCCGCCTTATCAGCAGGTCCCATAGGGTCCACTGACTCAATACACACAGGGTTGTTCCCCTTAATCACAAAGCCAAAGCTTCCACTCTCTCGAAAGACTTGGATTACTCTGACAAAACATGGACAACTTTGATATAATGAAATAATACATCTACTTGAAACATACCGGTATACTCAAAGTGGAGAAGATATATATTGTAAATATTACATATTTTATATATATGACTACAACATCTCTAAATTTTTACCCATTGTGGATCACCTAAGCAAATGTTATAATGTGATTGAGATGACTGGATCATTACAAACTTCATCATCACAAACCAACTGAATGTTTAGTATTTAATTTCATATAATTCAGCAACTTTGCCAAACAACCCCTTGAGTCTGTGAAAAGGAAATATATCTTAATTAAACTGAATTACCTTCTGTCTGTGTGAGCATGATCAAATTTGGATGCCTCTTCATCAAAATTGATCATATTTGCTCTTTGATATTTATGAAATTCATCAAATCTTGCTCTTTGCTTGGGAGGAATAAATTGCCTGCAAGATTACAAAGCAATTTGTGCAGCACAACAAGACAAAAGCATTTCCTATAATTTTCTTTGAAAGACAAAAACATTTCCTTGCAGATTATTACTGAATACTTAATAAAGGAAAAGGCCTCTCATAACTTTTTTTACTGTGGTTCTAAATCAAGTTCCTGAAATTCCAAAAACAATTAATGTTTTATAGAAATTAGTTCCTTCTACTTAGCATGCTTTATCCTTCAATCATCTGAATATTATACATTTTTTATATCAAAAGTTCTGAATGACAAAATCTAGTAGGGTTCTGTTGGTTTGGTATGGTTATAAGTAAGATTTTCTTTACCAAACATGGTATAATTAACACAGTTAATATTATTCATATATTCATTTCAATTTTTATCTTAAAAATCTTATACCAATTTTGTAGTTTAATGGAAGGGGAGGTCATTGGGTGTGATTGCATTCCCCCTTTTCTTTATCTGTTTAAAGTAATGTTGCCAGATTTTTTTATTTAATATTTGAAAATGACTTCCAGAACACAACAGAACCCATCAAAATTGTAGCTTTTCATAAAATATTTTCTGGCTTAGAAGAAAAGGGTACCCCTCAAAGACTCTCACTGCACCCCCACCCCTTTCCGGAAACTGGAAACGTGGCTACTGCCTGTTTAATAAATTGATATCTCTCTTTCAGTAAGACTAGTTTGTGACTTAATGTGGAAATCATGGGTAGTTTTGAATGAGATCATAAAAATTAAAAATTCCCAGTGCAACAAATAGTCTATACATATATTAAGCATAAAATGATCTGTACTATTACATTTGTTAATCAATGTACAGGATTTACAATTAGAGTACATGGATGACTAGATAACCAGAAGGTAGGGAAAACTGTCTAAACTATGCTATAAATGTCTTCTACACACTATATGGGTACCTGATTTGCTGAATAATCCCAGTCTGTCTGGGCGTCTTGAGAATGGCCGCTAGAGCTCTGGCCAACATGTCCACATCCCTGTCTTCTGCATACTGCTTTAACACACTGACCACTGCCATTTTCTTCTCATAGTCATTCCCTAGGATCTCATTCATCTGTGTGAAGTGAACACATAATATATCAATATGTACAGTATAGATGGGTAGATAAATCTGTTGTTTAATGAATGGAATCAGTGCCATATCCCCTGCATTAATCACACTAATGCACCAAATAATTCTTAATCAGCACCACTGGATCCAGAAAAGTTCTGAATTTTCCCATCCAACATATTTTATGTGTTTGGTGTACACATCTTCTAAAACAGAACTACACCTTTTAAAACTTATTTATTGCCATGGAAAACCCTTTATAACATTCTGTAATTATCGTGAAAATTTCAATGGTATATTGTTGATTGGCTCTCCTGTCTGTGTCCCTTGACAATATTCCATAGGAAACGTGCATTAGTTAACACAATGACCAGTGTTCCAATGGCACTGGATGAATCAAATTCTATATTTCAAAGACCAATCAAGTATAGAAGCTCTGGCACAATTATGAGTCCTGGGACACAAAAATGTTTTGTTCCACCACCAATGTATAAACATGCCAAAAGCCGATCTAAAGCAATTTTGTTCTTGTGAGAAATAAAATGCACATAAACTTGGAAAATCCAATTAGTTTGATTAATTTTCCTGGCTGGAATAATATTGAATTATTAGGCAACAGTTGAACTGAACACAATCGTCAGCCATACAGTGTGCTTAGCTCCTTTAATTGAAAAAGGCTCCACTATACAGCAGTGATCATGTAAGCATACCAGTCTACAGCTTCATTTTTAAATGCATGTTCATTAAGCATTAATTGTTTATCTTTGAAATATTATTTACATACTCAACAATGTGTTCTTTATTCTTTTTTACGACAAAACCACTTCCTTAGCCTTGTTATTTCATATCTAATTATCTAAGTCAGTTGGTGAGGTGAAGTTCTACACATTCAGGAAATGTTTTCAATTTCAAGACAAAAATAAACCATTTATTGGCTTCCCTCTCCCCCTTTGACTCTGCTAATTCGATTTCTTTCACTCTTACATGTTGCACAGTATGTGTAATAGATTCACTTGAATTATCAAATTTTAAATTGATTTTGATATCAAGAACACATCAATCTTTACATCTGGCATTTATCTCTCAGTTTACCATAAATAATTTAGAAACTGATTTTTTGCCACCACATTAAACAATAAAAATTAAATTCTGAAGGCACTCATACGTGTTATACTACACCCTTTTTCAGGTGTTTCTCTTTTACAGAAAAATTCACTTTCACCTGAAGCCTCAGTACTTGTAAATTAATAAAGAAATCTCATACCCAGGTATGAGTAACCCCAAGACATTGATTGTATCTAGGTTTTCTTTATGGCCCACACTTCTTGTAAAATAAATGAACTCAGTTCCCCTGGGAGTAGCTGCTATTGATCTAGGCCAACATTCTTCTAATATACTGTGCTTCTAAGTATTGGAAGCATAACTTTCAACAGTGAATGTATTTTTTTTTTCTTCATGTATGTCAAGGTGTTTCGTTACACCATTCTTTGTACTTTCTGAGAAATATATTCTGAAAGAATTTATTTCAGGAGATAAAGAAAAATTATTACTTTAAAATTACTAAAGGGATGAGAAAATGCAAGAAAAATCTACCATGATGTCTTCACTGCTGTGTATTAAGAGTGTAATTCATAAATTATGAATGGTTGATTTTTTTCCCCTCTCTCTCATAACAAACTCACATATTTATGCAATATTTACAATTCTACAAATTTTAACCCCTAAAGTGACCATCTGTTAACCATCTTTTTTTGTAATCATTGATTTTTAACCTCCCTCCTATTTGAATAACATTACATGCATTTATCCCTTTCAGATCTGTTAGCTTTTAATGGGGCAAACTAAGAAAACAGAACAACATTTGGTATGTAATTAAATAAATATAAAAATCAATAATTCATGGTGTGGCATATCATCTGAGAAGCTCCATACTTTCTCCATGCATACTTCTTGACTTTTCAAAACAGTTGTTCACTTAAATCTTTTGTTTTTGTTTTCCTCACAAAAATATTGCAAAAGGTCAGACTTTTAAATCCCTCTTTTATTTATTTGGTGGGGAGGGGGGTAGGGGGGTCATTTGTTTGGGGTTTTTTTGTATAAATTTGTTTTATATTAGTTTGTTTCCTTTCCCCCTTTCTTATTAAAATATTATTCATAAAATTCATAACGAAAAAATTTATATATATATATCATATTAGTTACTATATCATGAAAATATTCATACAAAAAAAAAAAAAAACAAATATTACCAGGGTAATATCTACAAATTCAAATTATAACTTTTTTACGGAATCCCCGTAGAATTAAAGATCAGAACTCATTTCTGTATCTCTTACCCTATCATGAAGTGACTTAGCTCTTTTGACTCTCCCCCACTCCCCAGCCAAATTCTGAGCTTGAACGTTCCTCCGGACCACCCGTTTATACTCTTTCCTTCTCCCTGTTGGTATAAGGCTGACCGAGAGCCGTCTTAATCTTCCAGTTAGGAAGGGTCTAATGTCCTCTTGTTTCCTGATTGAAAAACCATTGATCTCCAAAAGAACATCACCTGTTAAAGAATATTTAAAATTATACTAGAACAGTAAAGTTTGATTTTTTGACAGGAGTTGTAAACTTTGGGCATCCCTTACCTCCAAGTATTACTAAGATTATTGTTTCAAACAATACATATAAACACTTTACTAAAAAATTTCATCAACAATATTTTTAACTTAACACATATTTGCAACTTAATGATATTGTCAAAAATAAATGAAAAATTTGTGAAAAACTTTTACTTGACGGCATAGTGTACCTGGTTTGATGCCCACTTGATGAGCTGGCCCTGATAATTCCACATTTTTAACTCGAACAGGTTTATTTCCCTGAACATCAAATCCACACCCTGAAACTCTGGCACACACTAACTCTACCTGCTGAAGTCTCGTTATCACTCCTAAGACAGGGGGCTGTGACCTACTATGCTTAGCCAAGGACTTGAGAGTTGTTGCCGAAGCATTTGTGACATCTTCCCCGTCTAGTTCAATGATTTCATCTCCTGGTGAAAGGCCAGCATTATAGGCGATACTTCCTTTGGCTACACTTAAAATATATGTTGGACCTTCACCAAATATATCAAATCCACAAGATTTAGGCCATTTGTGTGACATCCTTAGAGGCATGGTGGTAATTGTCATAATGTGTTTGCACCATGTGCTTTAGAGGTAATATTAATTAGGTTTTTCAGCCACTATTCCATTATCCTTTTGCAACCTCTGTAAATAAAATTTTAATTTTCATTGTTTTCACTTTTTTGTAAATATAAATCAAATAATTGATCTTTAAATAAAAAAATGGCATTTAATTTAAATTCAACTAGCTACATAAATAATTTGATTTTTGATTCTTTGTTTGCATGATTTTAAAAATACAATGTATATACAACAGGCTATTAAAATAGTATTTTGTTCCAACTAACTAAAAGATAATAATTTTACCCATGACATTCTCCAGGACCCTAGTAAATCGTATACATATAAAGGCCTACATCTAAGACGATTTTTTTAGACATACACACTAACACACTAATCCATATATATAATAAATTAATTTGAAAACAAACACGTTTAATACATTTTTTTCGCTACCTTTTAAATACACCATTACATGAAACAATCCTTGCTGATAAGCACATCTTCCAGCGGATAACTCTAAATTACACTCGATAGATCACAACCTAGCCCACTGCTAGGCCTCATTGCGTCTCATCCTTCTCTTCTGTTTAACATATAAAACTCACGGACAATAACCTGATATCGATCCAACAAGACCATGTTTTTGTTATTGAACATCGATATGTTGACACCTTAGCGCATATTCGGCGTTCGCAGTTTCCCGCCATCGGAAAATGTGCACGCATAGCTAACTTGTACCAAGTTTATTCAACTTGTAATTTTTCCCCTCATCTTTTTATACACATAGTTCCAGCACGATTCTTCAAAAAAAAAGTTTAAATGAAATAAAAAGTTAATTCTTAATCAATTTTCATCTCTCAAGCACTTACTTATCTTAATCAAAGTGCAGATTGAGCGAAATGTTTGCTTTCTTAGCGATATCGAGTTTTTAACAAGCAGAAGGCTTTAATCAACTTTGGACGACGTGTTTTATCCTACTAAAGCTTTTAGCCATTTTTAACATGCACCAGTATATTCAGAACATACCATTCCCTCACTAGTCCTGAACCTATTCAGGTAGAAGAGTGTAATGCATTGCCACATACAAATGTACAATATCCCTCTATAATGATTTCAAGAGTGAAGATGCAATTTTTCCAATGAATAAAAGTGATATATTCACAGTTTTAACTTTCACACTGTAAAAATAAATTAATGGCAAAAATTCTCCCCCCCCCACCTTTCCCTCATGTAGTGTTTTAAAATACAATGTACTCCCTATAGACAGCAAGAATGAATAAACGATCAACATATCCAGCTTCTTAAATTCAAGTTGCTGTTATTAAAATCCACATTTACAGTTTTTTAATCTCATAAACTCTGCTATGACCTCTCAGCCTATGCCACTGCATCTAATAGTCGGTAGGTGGGAAAAAACAAAGAACACAAGTCAGAATTTTTTTTTTTTTTTACATGTTCAATCTTGCTTTGTACTCCTGAAAATTTAAAACAAAAATTCAGTCCCTCTTGTGAAATAAATTCCATATCCAACTACAAAACATTGAAAACTCTCAATGTATTCAACCAACAAAATTTGGAAAGATCTACCTTTTTTCTGTTTTTTGTTTTTGGTTTTGTTTTTAAATGCAAGGAATACCTGGTAGATACACAGTAAGCACATGCATTATTCCCTTGAATTTTTATCACAAACAGCAACTTACGTAATTTATCTTTTCAAATCCAGTAGTTATCAATAATATAATCACTGCAAAACAAACACCAAAGTATTTTCAACAATTAGCTTTATTCATTTTAAATTCTTATAACTTGTAATCAAGATTTCCAATCACAAAAATAACTTTTCTGAATCATCAATGTCACAGTCTACAGAATGTGACAGCAGTACTTAAGAAGCAGTCTCATTGAACACAATGCCTTTCCAATTTGTATACTAATAAATAAAATAAATAACTGCAAATCATAAAATTAAGCACTACAAAAAGTTTACCCGCCCGAAATATGATATACACACGTCTTGCTACAGTATAATTATAAACTTTCTGTACAAACATTGTCCTGCTATATTTGGTCTAAGGCACAGATTGTCAGACATCTGACAGAAGATAGGAAATTATTCTAAAATAACTTGTCTAAAATCTTCATCAAATCTACCATATCACATTGATCTATATTCAATTTTAATTCCTAAGAAAAAAAATAACTTAGAGCTACTTGTAAACACATTTGTTTAAATATACATTTTACCTATTTCCTGCTAAATTTAGCAATCACTAGGATAAAAACCAAAGAATTCAAAAAAATTAAATACCCTATTTAGATAATAAATATGACTAGTTTCTAAAACTAAATTCTACAAAATGACAAAGGTACTGTACATGAATAATTTTCTCCAAATTTCTTCTGTATAGAAATGTACACTTTTAAATAATTATACAGCTTGCTACTTCCGTCATGTAACATTTCACAAAACAATCCAACATACTACTTCAACAAATACTGATGTAATCATACTGAATTGAAAATATACACATACATTTAATTGGAGCAGTATTAAATCATGCAAAAAAAAGTGTGACAAGACCAACCATTTGAAAAGAATTTTATGTATTAAACAGCAAGCAATTAAAAACAAATTTGAAACAAAAGTCAAACAATGAACCAGTGATAAATGATTGTATGAAATGTCGTCATGCAATTGCACCACAAGTCAGAGTAACTTTTAGGAGACAAAACTATGAAATGTGCAGATACAGTTGAATTTCATTTTTTTTAAAAGTCTGTTTAAAAACTTTATCACAGTGTTCCCTTTCAGAAACTGGATTTGTCCCTCTGGCCTTCACCTATACATGCAACTTTCCACATACTACATGATAGTTCACTCTCACTTTTTGACGTCACTTGTATCAGTCTTTACGTCATATAAACCATCCTTTAATATACAAAGTCCAGAATATAATGGTTTGCTAATTTACAGATTATCTTAAACATTCTTTGCTGAATCACATCTCCTCTTTTCTAAATCTCAAATAACTTGCAACATGAACTCTTTAAACACTAAATACATAAAAACATATGTACAAAATAGGATGGAATTACAACTTCAAAAAGTTCACAAGATATCAAAGATTTGTTCAGACATGCTCCTTGGGTATATTCTGTTGTTAAACACTACTCCACTTTTAATCTCTTTGTATTCTGTCCATCCCCTGAGCCAACAGCATTAGATACTGGCATCACAACAATGGTTTTAGTTCCTGGTATAGTGCTCCCACTACCAGCCGCTCTTACGGTGACAGTTGTGGGATTTGAACCAGGAGCTGCAGTCACAATAACATTACCATTGACACTGGGGTTTCCTGTGGTACCAGAATTAGACAAGACCATCAGTGTTGTGGCATTGGTCTGTCCAGTCTCACCTTTGTTCAGCAATGTTTGAGCAGAAGTTGTGCTAGCACTTGTTGCAGCTTTACTAAATACTATGGGCTTTGTTTCAGCTTCAAGATTACTCATCAGGACAGCGCTGCTGATATCGATGAACTGTAAAAAATCAAAGATTTTTAGAGATCAAAAAATAATTCCAGAGAGAATTAATTCTAGATGCTACTTCTGGACTTCATGTTATAATCATAAAATAATCTTTCATCAAACAGCATTTTTCTGTCAAAACAAATCTACCTCATTTTGATACCATAATTTTTTAGTGTTAAAAAAATGACAACACAACATGCAAATAGCATTAAATACATAAAATACCTGTCTGACCTCTCCCATGACAGCTATGGGGGTCTCTCCTGTGGCAGCCGCCACCTTGTGCTCCACCAGATAGAACATGTACTCATCATACAACAGGCGGATAAGGTGAAAAGAACCAAAACTTGCTGCACTTCTCAGGGTCAAATCCCTTATCACCATTGAGCTGTAAAATAATTTAGCAAGATTAAATAATGAAGTCATCCTTCAATCACCATAAATGTATTTTCACAACTGTTTAAAACAAGTTACCTTAGGTGGCTCTGTTAAAAACTAAGACACTAAATAACAATATACCTTTTCCTTTAAGTGTCAATGACCTAGTTATACAGAGTTCAAGTGAAATTTCTGATCTCATGTTGTTGGTCATCTTTTTGCCAGCAATAAGCATCTTATATTTCACTACTAGCACTAATTTTTGACCCAAGAATTTTATAATTTTCTCTTGTCTTTGATCTTGTCCATATAATTTGATTCAATGCTGTTGCAAACCCTTAGTTTTTTCAGTTTTTGTTTCAAGTATGAAAATTTAAAGTATGTTTATTTCCTAGTTATCACCCAGTCAAAGTCTGTGATCAATTGATGCTCAGACATTCATGCATAATGCTCATTGAAATCATGCATACTCTTTCCTGCAAGTGCTAAATGTCCAAGAGTAAAGAAAATTTTGAAAGACATTGCATCATGATTAAACCAAATCTTCCTTTTCCTTTTTCCTACAGACACTATACAAATGTACCATAATTAGCTGAATTGGTTTTCTCATTTTATAAAAAAGCTGAAAATGTTCTAAAGTTTATGAAAAATGCAAGAAAATGACCAGAAAAGTAACTTGAGTGATTGATGTGACCTAAATATACAACCAGAAATTAATTCTGATTTCTTAACATTTTCAATTCGACTCAAAGAATACATCCATGCAATTTTTCATAGATTATAAATTGTATTTACCTGTAAAATGACCATTTCAGTAAGAACTGCCTGGCTGCTTTAGGAAAGTTTTCACTCCCTTCATGAGGTTTGAGAACCTGGTTAACTACTCCCTCCAGCCAAACGGCCCACTGCTCCAGTGAGTTCTGGAGCTCCAGGGTCTTCTTAAAGTCATCCTGTAACTGCTGCACCACAGCATCGTCACACTGACACACCCAGGATGCTTGTTCCTGTTCAATTTGAAAAATCTCAACTGGATACTTGCCATTTTGTCTTTTAATCATCATAAAATCTTAAAATGTTTTGAATTTTTTTTAACTCCAAATTTTCATTTAATAATAGGTGTCTAATTCTGCCTATTTCAAACATCTGCAAATGTTGCCATCCAAAGCAGGTCTTTTTTTCTTTTTTTTTTTTAAGTTTTATTGTTTAATGTGTTCATTGTGACAAAAGTGACATTTTGTTATTATTTGGCATTTCATTGTTTTTTAAGGATTGAGCAGTGATCAGATAAATAAATAAATATATATATATATGCAGATTTTTTCTTAAAGTTTTTATTATCATTCTTCGTGTTTTGTTTTTCATTTGGCAATATGCTATAAACTGAACCTTTTATTGTAAGTACATGTAAAAGACCAATATTGTTATTTTTTTGCAAATTAAATTATTTCCATTTTGTACTCACTTGGACATTTGCGAAGTCCACTCTGTTGAGATCAGTTAACATCTGATTGATCTGGGAAGTGTTTTGTAGAACTGCCCTTGCTGCCTGAGCTAAATGGTTGAGTGAGGTGTACCGACGCAGAGTCTGAGCAAAGGCACTAACAGCACTCACCTACAAATTTGAACAGTACAGCTGCATTAAAAGGGGAATAACTCCTCAATTATTATCAGTAGCTAGATTATACATGTATATCACTTCTTCACTTTTAAAATTCAAACAGTCATTTCTACATTTTACTGATAATTATTCCAACTTTCACATTCTCTAACATTTCATGCATCTTTATTATTATTTTTTTTTTTACCTTTGTCTTCACCATTTCCTCTGGGACACCTGTCATGGCACTTTTTAACCAGTTTTCTAAACTTTTGGCAAAATTTCTTATGGCTTGTGTAAGTGAACCTATGAAATGATTTTTTAATATAACAACATAAAAAATGTATTTCAATGGTTCATTTTAACATTCATCAAAACTTTCAGAATCTATAAATAAAAAAAGTCTCAAGCATAGGCTTACTAGGAATAGGTCGTAGAACATCTGGAATCAGAACTTCCACAAGTGCTTGATAAAATGTGTAATCTGCTCTCCTGACCCACTGCTGGAGAGGTTCATATGAACTAACCAAATACAATTTCTCCTTTGGTAATCGCTTCTCATAATCATTGTCAGCTCTATAAAGAACATCATTCTGACAATGTACATGTAAAAATAACTTCCTCATTTTCTATGTACTTTATGAACAGGGAAATTACTTTTATGTCAAAAGTTTCTTATCTACTTTAAAGACAAGGAACTTCAATGAAGAGCTTCCTTTGTTCTCCCTTCATGTAGGGAAATTCAATCTATCAATTATACTTACGTTAACTGATCAGGAGGTTGATTTCTCCAGAAGCCCTGCCATAAAGCCTCGATGAGGGAGAATTGTAAATTGACCACTACATCGACAATAGCCTCGGCATGCTCTCTGTACATTTTCTCAAATGACCTGACATGCTCGATTGTAATTCCTTCAGGGAAAGGCATAGATGTGTCAATATCACCAAAGTTTGGAAGAGCAGCAGATGCATCTCCCAGAAATTGTTGGTGCTGTTCTTGTTGAGCCTTGGCGGGATCATGAGCTCCATGTGGACCATGATTGCTGTCTGAACCATCTACCTCTCCTTTACTGTTAAAAAAAAAAGTTTTCCCTAGATGCAATTGCAAACCTGACATGGACATTGTCCACATTTATTCCTTCTAGTATGACCTGGCATGTGCCTTCACTGAATTTAAAGTCTTTATCTCATATACATGTATGTATGATAGTTTAGAAGTTAGGGCTATGGTGAGAGTTTGTGAAAGATAGACAAACAGACTAAAAATAGAAATTCTTCTCTTTATCATACATGTAATTATCCTATTTTTACTACAATGTTGATTTCACTAGATTTTCCTTCCATGAAAGCAATATATTGGATCTTTATACAGTTGAGGAGGTGTCAACTTACCCTTTACCATGATAAAGAGGCTGTTGCCTGATTGCCATTGTTTCATTGTCAGTGAACTGATTTAAAGGTGAGTTGGCCTTTATCCTTATTCCATAGTAATGGTACTTAGAGTTCCCCCTGAAACAGTCATCATTTTTGTTAACATAAATGCAAAGTGACAATGTTTAAATTCAAATAAATATGATGCAAGATCAAGTAACACTATGCTTACCTTGTACCCAAGCGTCTTGTCCTTAACCCCAAAAAGACCGATCTGATAAGTTTCCCAAAGGAAGCTGGATTCATTGGATCTAAGTTCTGTTCTTGACAGTGTCTCAGATAGTGATTATATAGGGTACTCCTGGGTAGACTCACTCCCTCAGCTGTCTCATAGTTGTCTATCAACCACTGAACCTAAAATATCAAGGTTTTGGTCAACAACAGTACATGTACATGTATACTGTACAATAACCATATTATTTACTTTTTTTAATAGAGTTTTTTCCCACCACATAGCTAACCAAGAAATACAGAAAGGACCAAGTTATCATGAAATATGGATATTTTCCATTTCATGAAGATGCACATGCACTTTTCAGTGATACATATATTCACTAAGTTGAAAGTTTAAGAATTATACCAATTTTTTTTTTCATAAGACAATAAAAAGTACACCAACCGTAGCAGGTGAAGCTCGGGTGGTGTGGGTGAGGGGAGTACCCTCTCCATCCATTGTGCCTCCCTGGATTAGGTAAGTTCCTCCCTGGTGCTGCAAAATCTGTCCCTGAACTGTCTGTACGGTCCCTAACTGCAAAATACATTTACTTTTTACTATAAATCAAGGCAAGTCCTTGTTGAGTTTGTTGTAAGTCTTCAAACAGATGTACAAGTACCACTTATTTGTGATTAGTCATTCCATAATTATAGAGTATTATATGAACAGTATGATGTTCAACTTACCTGCTGCCCTGTACTTTGATAGTATGCACTGGATACTGGTGTATACATTGTCTGTCCATACTCATTCTGATAAGTACCTTGCCTTAAAAACAAAACACGATGGTTAAACATAACTGCTCACAAATTCAGTTCAAGTTGTTGAAATACTTGTGATGAATTTTAAGACAGTTTGTGTGCATTGCAGACATCCATTTTCTGTATTTAAATATCTCTCTTTATAAATTGTTAATGATTTCAAACATAAATTTACTCAATATTCACATCAAATTCATTTGTGTATTAGATTACATTAGAAATTTTACTGTAAACTAACTTTCCCTCACAAAGCTGTCTTTTTCTCAAAATACTAAATGAAGCACTCAAGCATGCCAAAATTTTTTCCTGATTCCACTTTTCTCACTGACATAATTCAGTCACATCACAAGTGAAGAACAGTTAGTTTACAGTAGTCAAAATGGCACCAATGTAATTAAATAAATATTAAGTGTAAAAACATCATAAAGCAAACACTAACTGGTATAAGGATACCTTTCCTTTAAAAGATGTAAAGAAAAAAAATTGGAACAACAAAGTTTGTGAAAATTTAAATTTACCAATGGCCATTATATCTAGGATGTACTCTGCTTTGAAAATAGAAACAATGTCATAAATTACACCATACATATTCTGACAATAGTACAATTTTAAGGGGTAAGTGAGTGCCAATGAGTAACAACAGATACACATTAAGAAGTGGTATTCTCCAATATACACCCATGGTGTCAGTTCATTGGGGGGTGCATGCAGAGCAATGTCCTAACTCCCACAGATAACTCAGTCCCCTTACTGAACAAGCCTTAAAGAAAACCTTAACAGTTTTACAAGAGACCACCAGAGCACCTATTACGGATATAAGGAAACAAATTCATTTTCCCTGAGAGGAACATTGCAAAGCCAATACAATATTCAGAATGTTTGTGCATGACAACCAAGCATTACTGCCACTCAAACCAGTGTGAAGTCCACAGCAGACTGAGGCTTATCTATTACTATATATCGTACATTTGGCCATTTGCGTAGATACCAGGATCTGAGCCATCTACGTACTGTACATGTGTGGGGTAAACTGCTTGTCCTCCTTGTTGGATGGTCACAGTGTCTCCACCCTGTGCCTGATCTCCCAACTGATCTGGAACTAAATTAAAATTACTAATCATATTAGTCACATACAACTACATACATACATACTCAGCAACTCTTCATATAGTAACTAACTGATCTTTCCTAAAGAGTTTTCTTTTTTTTAACAAAAATTTATTTGCAGTTTTTTTTTTTTCATCAAAGGGCATGTCTTCACTTACTTGTAACAATGAACTGTTGGCCAGAATGTGTCTGGGAAGGCTGTATGATAGTTGTCTTTTGGGTCTGTCCATTCTGTGACTGAGATGTAGATGGTGATTTCGAAGAACCCTGCTAAATTACATCATTTTTAAATTAATGACCACAACAGTGATAAGACGCACACAGCACATATATATTTCCTGAAACTTGATTCTCCATAGTTCAAATACACATAGAAAATATCTATATGTACTCAAAAATTCTCAAAATGAATAAAAATTCAGTGTCAAAACATTGACAAATTTGTTTGTTATTATCACAATAAATTGCGAGTCCCACCTGTACTTGAACAACAGTTGGGTTCATTGCCTGCAAATCTGTGACGAATGTCTGTGTAGCCATCAGATCATTTAGGAAACTGTAATGGAATATTGATGCCTGTTGTATAATTCATCATTTCTCCATATATTCATTCAGACATATAAAATGTTATAAAAATCATCATTAAATACTCTCTATACTGCCTTTAAGAGGATTTATGAAACAAGGAAGGCCAAATAGAATAGATATCTTAATTTCTATTTCAAGATATTCCCACACTTATAGTTTCTATAGAAAGTTAAACATAAAATATTACAGCGATTGCAACGAGCTCTATAGACTAACATGTAAAAACAGAGGAAATTCAAACTGAAATCCGTACAGTTGTCAAGTAATTTTTTGTGTGAAACCTTTCTAGAATTCTTTCGCCACATAATTCCATGTGATAATGGTGAATTATCCCAATTATTGCAGTGTGCACCAAAAGCACTAGCTCAATGCCAAAACACCCATAAAAATTTGGTCGGGCTAGTAGAATGCAGACTAGTAGAATTTTCAGCTGTATTAATCCATTTCCATCTCAGTATATTAAATAATTGTCAAAAAAAAAATTCTCTGAAAAGATTAATTTTCTCAATTGAAAATTTTATACTTTTCTACAATTTTCTCATCTTTCTGTCCATGCTCAGTTCGATTTTGTTTATAATTTGTCATTTCCGGTCACCATGTTTAAATAGCTAATGAATGTGAAGAAAAAGTGGAGACAAACACTGTCAATGAATCAAGAAATGTTTTGAATTAAAATCACACCTGAGAGTTTCTAACAAATGGAAAGATTGGTGGGCATTGGGCTATCACTCTGCTATTTACTAACATTTTGTGATGAAATGTTTATAGTGCATCGGACTGCATCCATGCTGTGCAAAACATCACAGTTCAATTACAGGATAAAATGATTGACAGTAAAATGACAGAACAGATGGTTAATAAAAATTTAATTTTTGAAATTAATGAGCTGTAAAATTTTCAATCAAATCTAGAAAGAGTGAAAGCATTCACACCTGGCATGATATGAGGAACTTCTTATTACAGGTGTGTTAACATATTAAATTGCAGTCACAAAATTTTTAAAATATTACAGTTTCAGTAAATCTTCTTATTTTCAATTTTAAAGAGTTCCAAAATATTTTAGTCTAAAAAAAAGATATTTTTTAAACAACTTTTGTATTTTTTTTCCCTGTTGTTGTTAATCTATTTTATTTCCAAAGTCTTTAAAATTCCTCATGTCAAATCAAATCTTTTACTGAATATATAGTCATATTCAAAACTATTTCTCTATTTTGTTTAAGTGGCCCCCTTTTTTTTTTTAATTTTAACCTATAATCATGTCCCATCTTGATTTAAAAAAATTAAAGAATTAGTATATAAAAAGTCTTTTAAGGAAAATATAATACTTACTTAATTTAGTTTGTGAACCAATGAATTACTTTTAAAAAAAATTTCAAAAGAAACTTGTCAATATGATTGCTTTCTTTGACAAGTCTAAACAAGTTGACATACTCCTGACATAATACATATAAACTATACAAAGTTGGACAACTTTGTTAAAATTTTGATTTACATGTCTCAACCATTTTAACACTGAAAACTATGCCCCTTCTACGTTATCTTTCATAACTTTTTAGTTTCCTAGCAACTCAACATTCCACCCAAGTTCAACCAACTCCCAAGGAATTTTTTGAATTTTCTGTCAAAAATAACGCAAAAAATAGGTAAACGTTATAAAGAATATGATAAACTTTTAATTTATGCAATAAAATAGTTGTTACCATGGAAACATTAATAGTCATTGCTAGGATACAAAACCGTTGCTGACCAAAAAACACTTCACTTCTAGATTGGACGCCATTTTCTTTTTAGAAACGGTATCCAACCCAGCGTGCATACCAAATACTTGTAAATTACTAAGAAATGTCTTAATTATTTATTGCAAAAAACATCCCCGAAGAGACATTGATTTACATCTACTACTTTGACCATGATGTAAATGAAAATTCACCTTTTACGTATTGGTGGGTAACAGTCGTCAACAGCTACGGTGGCTATGGCGTTTATTCCTACGGCAACAGTTGCCAGTCTCCCCGCGTCAGCAAAGACACAAGATTCATACGCAGGCAAAACCGGATGTAGTTATATATTCGTTAAAAAGAAGAATATTAATGTAATTTAGACTTAGATATGAGTCAAATATAATACAATATCTAATACATCAAAAGCATCCCTTGATAGAATGTAAACCAGTTTAAAAAATAAATTTTCCTTTGCACTATATTATAGAACGCCCTATTTCCGGAAAAATGTAATTTGGCTCGAGGAAGGCATCAAAATGGCGTACACGAGAAATTATAAATAAAGTGGTTTTCGTATATTCACGTACCTGATTTATTCAAATCGATGTGTTCCTCTTGAGATAAGTGCGCATATTTGAGAATAACATAAGTATGTATGTGAGGAATGCTTAAAAAGTGAATGTTTTTAAAGTGTGTCACAAGACAAGGTTATGGGTCAAACGCCATGCGGTATGCAAATTTTGCCGAACAGTTGGGGGATCTTACAGGGGCGAGGGTGGTGATTTGGGACCATACTAAAACACGAACACTGAAAATTAATGGAAATAGAGCATGTCCATCTATTTAAACCTTGTTTATATAAAAAGAGAATAGGGTTTATCATGTTTATTACCAAATCAGGGCTCAATGGGCAGAAACAGATATATGTAACAGACAGAATGCAACATATAATGAGCAATTCTTCCATTTAGTATATTGGTGGTATATTTAAGTTTCATATGTAGACATAGGTTGTTTTAATTTAAGATATATCTGCATTTTTAATTGATGCAACTAAATTTGCAAACATGTGCATTATTATTATTAATGCTGTACATAAATTTGGGACAAAGTTAACGCACTTTGAAAAAAATATTTCTTTTCAAAGTGCGTTAATATCGACCATATTAACGCACTTAATTTGAAAAAAAATGTGCACGGATTGGTCAATATTCTAGCAAATGCCTATATTATGTCTATCTTTGCAAAAAAAAGTTTTGGAGGGCTAAGCCGCCCTAGCCTTCCTTCCCCCCCCCCCCCCCCCCCCGGTTCCGACGCCTGATGTAGGTATGATGGCAATGAACATTAATGGTTCAATTTTAATTGTCGAGAAATGGGACAAAATGGGGTCCAAGTTTGTAAGCTCATTAAAAATAATCATAATATGATGGTTTTTAAATAGTGATTTGATAAGAATGAAAAAAATATTTATTCCCGCAACAATATGATGGCTCTTTTTTTCAAACAGTAATTTGATAAGTATTAAGAGATATGAAAAATTAACTATTTATGCATATTATACAATTTTGTTTTGTATTGTATTTGATTTTGTAGAACTAAGTTGGCCAAAATACAGTTAGTTGGCTTTTGTTGCTTAGATCAGCGATATATGGTCCCCGAGCCTCTCTTCTTTAATATAACGGGGTGCGTTTTTTTTTCATGGAAGTTTATCTCAATTTTTTCACTATTTTCATATATATTCTCAAATTTCTTGAGAGAAAGTATATCAATTGTATACAGTTATGTAAATACATATATTTGGGTAGGAGAGATAAAGAGTTTGTTCTGAGTGACCTTCTACCTGTCTTGTCCTCGTTCTCGATGAGGGTTGATCAGTTCATCAGTTTTTCGAACGAAATATAACAAAATAATGCAATATATTACTAAAATCTTAGCCCCAAGTTTTTGTTTTATACATATTTTTTTTTTCAAAGTGCGTTAAGTTTCTCCATGGTTTAAAATGTTGATGTACACTCATAACGCATTTTGAAAAAAAACAAACAAAGTGTGTTGACTTTGTCCCAAATTTAATGCACGTTGGAAAAATTTTTCAAAGTGCGTTGCCACAGTGCTAAAGGATATACAGAAATCCACTTCCGCTTTTGTTAAAAACAATTTTTTATTATTATATTCATAATCTGTCTCAGTTTTGCTGACAGTACTGCCTGGGCCAATTTTAAAAAAAAAAAAAAAATATTTAAAAGGAGAGAGAGAAAGAAAAAAAAGAGATCGTTCTCACATGTATGCATATTTCAATTTACCATTCTTTTTCTTAGGACAACACCCAAATATTTATCTTCATCAACAAAATAAATATAATAACATTTTTTATACCTCATTGTTTTACAAGGTTCTCAAAGGAGGATATAACATTGGCGCGTCCCCCTCCCAACCCAACCCCATTCAAAATTTTATTTCTTTTTTAAAAATTTATATATAATTTTTTTTTTTAATTCACTTTTGTAAATTTTGTTTGTTTAAGTTCTATATACTTTCAATTTAGTCCACAGGTAACAATTCATAGTTAAATAATTTATTTAACATATACAGTAATTAAACTCCTTCACAAACAAATGACTTAACATGTTAAATGCGAATATTTGGGATAATCTGGCGTAAATATAGGATGATTTGCTGCAGAAGAGTGGACTGAATTACACACTACCTCAAGCGCTGGAAATGTATGTCTATGATACATAAAAGAAGTATATATATATATATATATATATATATATATATATATATATATATATATATATATATATATATATATATATATATATATATATATAGAAAGCACTACAAAAACCAACAACACTGTATATCCTAAGTGTCGGATCTACTAAGTAGATACAAGGTCAAGGATGGAAATTTATATAAAGCACTAAAAATGACCAACGACACGAACAATAGAAATTGTCAAATTTTCGGGACGCCCTGTCCCTTCCTCAGGACAAAGAAAACTTTTTTCTTTGCTGGCAAATAATTCAATAGCAATAGGTGACACATACGACAAAAGAACAAACCTTTAATAGGGACTTAATAATTTCGAAAGCCCATTAAGTTCATTTTCGTAGGTTAAAAAATATTTTTTCGCGTTATAACGAAACTTTTCGCGTTCTAACGCAAAACTTTCGCGAATAAACGTGTAAATTTCGTGTTAAAACGCGAAACATTCGCGTTATAACGCGAAACTTTCCCTGTAAAACAGAGACATTTGCATAAATCTCCATTTTCTTTTAATTTAATGATCTAGTTTACTCATTACAATGAAAAATGAAAGACTATTTTGAACTTGGATTACCACAAGCTGAAATTTTATGTTTTCTCGCCATTGAATGTGTCTTTCCGTTTCCTAAATCTTTTTTGCCTTCAACGTTATAACGCGAAACTTTCGCGTTTATCCGCGAAAGTTACGCGTTATAAAGAGCGAAACTTTCCCTGTAAAACAGAGACATTTGCATAAATCTCCATTTTCTTTTAATTTAATGATCTAGTTTACTCATTTCAATGAAAAATGAAAGACTATTTTGAACTTGGATTATCACAAGCTGAAATTTTATGTTTTCTCGCCATTGAATGTGTCTTTCCCTTTTCTAAATCTTTTTTGCCTTCAACGTTATAACGCGAAACTTTCCCTTTTATTCGCGAAAGTTACGCGTTATAATGCGAAACTTTCGCGTTTATTTGCGAAAGATACGCGTTATAACGCGAAAGTTACGCGTTTATTCGCAAAAGTTTCGCGTTATAATGCGAAAAATTTTTAAACCTACGAAAATGAGCTCAATGGGCTTTCGTATTTAATTAACATTTGTTGGTATACGTATGTATACTAGATATATTACTGAAAATCATAATAACGTAACTTTTGCTTAGGGTAAAATATCTAGTTATATCTTTTAGTGTGTCTTTTTACCCTATGTAAGGTATCTGTATATTTGTGAACTTTTTTTTTATAAAAAAAAGGTGGTGGTGGTTGTGGGCGTCCCCAAATAAATTGCCAACATATAATATACAGTAGTGCTTCCTTAATAATGGTGCCTGTGACCTTTTTTATTACTTGTCTAGGAATTTCTGTAGGGTTGTGCCTCCCTTATGTGCCTTATTTATTTTCATGTCAATGAAGGACAGATTATTTACTTTCAAGATGACCAAGGGAATATTATTACAAAACCGCAAAAGCCCATAAGTATCAAGTAAAACAAAAAAATACACCCCTCTATCTCTATTAGAAAATTTTTCTTGTAATTCAGAGACAATAATTTCTGGTCATAAAAGCATTTGGCTTCAAGTTGATAAACGGGAAAATGTACCAGATGTATAATTTTATTAAACGTGTTATGATCGTTTAGGAATCCAAAACAGAGAAATTTTGCAGATTTTATATATTCAGAGAATAAAATAATGTAAATTTACACGAGGCCCATGGCCACATCGCACACCTGAGTCCATATGGCCCTGCTGTTCTTCATCAGCAGATTTCTTCTCCTACATATTCATATGTAAAGCTTTGATCGCCTATTCTAGCCACACCCTACCCAAAGGGGTCATGTTCTGAAGAAATTGAATCTACACTATCTGAGGATACTTCCATATTCATATGACTAATCACGGCTTTGCTGTTCTTGAAAACAGAATTTTAATGATGTCTGCCACCCTACCCTGGGGAGGGGGGGGGGGGTAGCTGCAGATCTGTAGCTCGCTGGTCTGAAAAACAAATTGGGATGGACGACCAGAGAGCTCGATTTATTTCTCCGTATATTTAAACTGCCATCCCAAAATATTACTAACCTGTGTTCCTAACATAGTCAAAGAATGTATTAGGAACACACAGTTAGTAATATTTTGATATGTACGAAGAAATAAATCGAGAAACAGCGCACTTTTTTTGTGCGCAATAAATATACACTTTTTTCAATGGGTGGCACTGTAGCTCTCTGGTCGTCTATCCCAATTTTTTTCAGACCAGCGAGCTACAGATCTGCAGCTAAAGTGGGGGGGGGGGCATGATTTGAATAAAATTAAATCTACACTACCTGTGGAAGTGGAAGCTTCCATGTCAATATGAATGATAAGGCTTTGTTGTTTATGAGAAGATTTTTAAAGATTTTTTCCTATATATGTTAATATGTAAAACTTCTATCCCCCATTATGGCCCCACCCTACTACTGAAAGATGACTTGAACAAACTTGAATCAACAATACCTGGGGATGCTTCCATATCAATATGAATAATCATGGTTTTGTTCTTGAGAAGATTTCTCCTATATATTCCTTT